TATGAACCCAGGAAAGGCTCTTCTGTGTGCCTGCTGCTCCTGTCCTGCAGCAGGTAATCTCAGAGGGGAGAGAAGCCAAGGTAGGCAAAGCTTAGCTCAGTTTAACAACATAGGTTGGGCTGCTCAGGAACTGGGTCCAGCCCTGGTTCCTTGCCCACTGCTGTTGAAAACAATTTGCTCTCTGGCTCTTTGAACCTGCCTTTCCAGGACAGGTCGAGTCTGTAGTTAAGTCACAAAAGATGCTGTGCCGACACGTAGGTAAGGAGGGTGGATGCTTAAGAGTCGGCTAGGCTGGAATATGGGTTTAGTCTCAGCTACACCAAAGGTTCCCTAGGCATTACTAAGCAAGCTATTTACCCTCTCCATACCTGATTGCCCAACTGTACTTCGGGGTCGTAATATGTAGAGAAGGCATGAGGACGAGCCCTTCAGAGCAGGGTTTCCCAACTTTTTTGGTCCAGGGAGCCACTGTCAACCCCCAGGTTCTTGTTCATTACCACAGTAACGTGCAAAACTGAGGAGCCAGTAGATGACTCCTTAAGGACAGCGTCCTGGGAACTCTTACTGGAAGGACTGCAAAGGGCAGAGGTGCTGGGAACACTCGCGAAGCGTAGTAAGCAGGATTAATCCTGGATATGCGCTGCTATTTATTCCCTATCTTTGAATCAGGCCGGCTCTCTGAGGTGGGTAAGACCCAGGTACTGTTATGTGGTGATTCTTGTTACCTAAGGGAGTCTTCCCACCACCGTGGGCGGAAGGGACGGCTATCTGATTCACACCTCTGATACAGCCAAGGGCGCCGACTGCTCTGTGCCCGTGTGGTCCTCATGTCACTTAGGAGTAGTTAGTGTTAAGGACGCGTTACATTTTGGGTTCATTTTCTTGACTATCACCTTCCAAAGCCCTGAGGCCCAGTCCTGCAGTCACTTACTCAACGCAACTGTCCTGCTAAAGAACCTGTCTTTGGGTTTCCTCTCCAGAAGATGGGGAGAGGCCGTTGCTAATCCTTAGGGAGATGCTGCTACTATCCATTGTCTTCCTTTTGTTTCAGCTATCTTGGTGATTGAGTTTGTGTATGCTATTGTGGGCATCGTTTGGCTAACGCAGTACTACACTTCCTGCAATGATATCACAGCAAAGAGTGTCACTTTGGGTATGTATTTGGAACGTGGTTTGTGTGCATTCCTGTGTATGCGCAGACATCCTCTTGCCTTGGAGAGCTAATTCATCCGTGCATGTGGGGATTGACTGTTGGAAGTGGATTGTAGCTGTAAATGCGGTGCTTGTTTTCCTGAGACGTTATTGCTCGGAACAGTTGTTCTATTCATTTGTTTGTGCTGTCCGCACTGAGGCAAGCAAGAATTCGCATTCCCATGGAAGGGTCTGGCTGGGGAGTCTGTAAGACCTGGTTTCCCCTTCTTCAGTTCAAAATGGCTTTACTGTTTTCCTGGAACTCCTTTTCAATCTCGACCAGTCTCGTGCGGGGCTAATGCTAATGTTGCAGTCCCCCTAGATACCCAGTGAGTATTCATGGCCTTCTGCATGGGCAATCTCCTAAAACAGCTGGGACACCTAGCTGTGGTTTAGAAGCCTTTCCAGAGGGTTTCCTTTTGCTGCAGCTGACTGCAAGAGTATTTTGGGTAACTTGGTCTGCCCTGCAGCCACGGAGAGGTGGGTCTGATGTGTGTGGTGAAAAGCGGGAAGCAATGCTGCCAGGATTTAAGGGCAGAGCACCTGACCTCTCTTCTTCCTTTGCAGGAATGGTGGTGTGCAACTGGGTTGTCATCCTGAGCGTCTGCATCACTGTCCTGTGCGTCTTCGACCCGACGGGCCGGACCTTTGTCAAACTGCGTGCCACGAAGCGGAGACAGCGCAACCTGAGGACGTACAACCTGCGGTAAAGCAGCGTTTCTGGAAGGGTGCCCTGCTTTTTTCCGGTTCTTGACGCTCTCCTTGCCTTGCTTTGGGGAGCATTCAGCTTCAGGCACTGCTTCCCTTTGCTGGTGAGGGTGATTTTGGAAGAATGCAGCTCAGACTGTCAGGTGCTGTGTGTGGGCATCTGCATCCAAAGGAGGCGAAGCAACGCGGTATCTGGCTGGATTGTGTGTTAGTCACTGAATTTGTGAATCCTTCCGAGCCCCTTGAGCCAGGGCTGACCACAACAGCTTCTCTGTCTGTCCTGTAGCAGTGTTTTGCCTGGTAACAGTGAGGCAGTGCTTTGATTTTGCTTAGGTTGAAGCAGCAGCAGCATCTTCCCAAGTCCCTTTCTTCCTTCATTTTTTGTCTTCAAAATGCAACCTTTTGACCTGAGGTTTCTTGTATTTGATCTTGGCCAAGAAACAATTTCTTTTGTGTTGGCAGTCAGATCTTTTAATTAAGAATTGATTGCATCTTTGAGCTACCCAGACGGGGTTATGAAAGCTTTTTTCACCAAGCAAGGCATTTTTCAGCAGGTTTTTTTCCAGTAGCAGGACAACACAAACAGGCTTTGTTTTCTTATGCAGTCTTGACATATGTAACTGTCAGCAAGGAATGCAGCCTTGTGGGACTGGAGGGCATTGGGTTTTGAATGCTAAAAAATGAAGCTTTTAAAAAATACTCGTCAAATTTTGCATTTCTCTTTGGGAATGGGGGTGTTTTGAATACGTGCTCTTCCAGTGTCTTGAAACGGGATCCTTCAGGTTGTCTTTCTGAGGAAGAAGTGGGCTTTTCTAAGGAGGATGCGGCCAGTTTTGTTTGAAGGAGCCTGGTTTTTTTTTCATTGCAGAATGTGTAAGATGTTCTTCCTAACCTTTCCAGTATGTTACTAACACCAGCCTTGAATATTCGGCGTTAGTGCCCCGTTAGCCTAACGTGTGCGATCGCTGCGGTGTGCTCAGGACCTTCCCAGGGAGATTGGGATGAGAAGCTACGACGTTACCGTGGGTCTAGAACCCCACGCTACCTCAAAGCTGTTTGGCTCATTGTTTTTCCCGAGGGAAACAAGAGTGCCACAGATTGCAAAGTTTTATTGCCTGAGAACTTTAAATCGAAACGAACCCCAAAATGATCTTCCCTGCGAGGAGGTTTGGGATCCCAGACAGCTGAGTGAAGGTATTTGTCCCCTGGGCCACGGCCAGGTTTATTCCCTCCAGGCCTGTAACATTTTCGGAGAGCTCGTGCCTGCCCTTTGCCGATTTCCACTCTAGAAAAGGAGCGTTAACAGATGTTAACAAGCGGAGTGCTGTGGGCTAGCATGGGAGAAGCAAACATAAAATGTTACTGTGTGTTCACTACTAAAGCAGTTGTTTTCAAAGACTGTATTTTGAAATTCTCCTCTTGCTGGAAGCAATCCTTTCCAAGGAATATATTATGAAGCTCTCTGCCTGGTCCTGGCTTGTGGTCCTGTAAGATCGTATCGTAGAATCATAGAATGTTTTGGGTTGGAAGGGACCCCTAGAGGTCATCTAGGGCCTGTTGAAATCCCGCTGTCTGCAGCGATACGGACAGCAGTAACTTGACCTTTGTATTATGCTTAACCTCAGCCGTATTTCCTCTGTCTTAACTGGTGAAAAAAAACTTGATCGGTTTGGCACGTTAAGGAGCCATGTAACTTCGGCTTCCTCTTCGTGGTCCTCTGCTGTAGCTGTTGGACTCTGTTACGCAGTGGTTCTCCTTTACCAGTGGCAGCGTGATGTGTGTGGGCTTTCATGTTCTTGCAGAGCTAAGAAAATAAAACAACAAAACAAAAGGCTCAGCTAATTGTGCTGAGGCTTTTCTAAGAAACTGGCTTTAGAGCTCATACTGAACACGTGGAAGGCTCGGTGTTAGGAAGAAAGAATTTCGGAAAAGTTGGAGCGAAAATAGCTCAGAGCACACTTGCTTGTTCAACCCCCGCGGTGAAGTTGTGAAGTTCTTTGCATTGCTGCCCGAGTCCTTTGGCATTTGCTGGAGCAAACAGAGTACTGCCAGCTCTGTCTTGGGACACTTGTGTTCATATTCCTCTTTTGGAGCCTTCCTTGGAGGCTATGGATAGTTAAGATGCTCAGGCATGAGCTGATGGATTGCCCTGCAAGATCTGCTCCTGTTGCAGGCAAGTCCTCCTTTACCAGATTGTTTCTCTTCCAGGTCCCACCCGCTTTCTGTGCTTGGGCTTTTCTTGATGCCATCACCTGCCAGAAAACAGAAGCGGTCTTTTTAGATTCGTCCGACCCGTGTTGAGTTAGTCTGTGTTCATGTTTTAAAAAGACCCCACATTAGAGCAGCTGTGGGCTGTATTACGTAGGTAGCATGGCACTCTGGCCAAGAATCACAGTCACCCACTTCAGTGCCACTAAGCCTGACTTGATTTAAGGATTGTTTGCAGGTCTGCCAGTCAAAAATAAGGGACTGTCGCCCTGCAAAAGCTAGTAACTAGGACAAGCTCACAACAGTGGCATAAACTCAGCTATATATATTTGATGGGTGGACTGTTTGGTGGATAAGGAACTGGCTGGATGGTTGCGTCCAGAGGGTAGTGGTCAATGGCTCGATGTCTGGATGGAGACCGGTGACGAGTGGTGTCCCTCAGGGGTCCGTGCTGGGACCAGTGCTGTTTAATATTTTCATCAATGACTTAGACAGTGAGATCGAGCGCACCCTCAGCAAGTTTGCGGATGACACCAAGCTGAGTGGTGTGGTTGACACACCAGAAGGAAGGGATGTCATCCAGAG